CTCCCTGGCCCTGCTGGTGACACAGCCCAGGGACACGGTGGCTTCCGTTGCCAACTTACACTGAGCTTCTCATCACCCAACACCCCCCAAAACAGGAGGCTGAGGCTTTTTTTCTGGCATGGGGGAGCCCAGGGGAGGAGGTTGGGGGGGGGATGTCTCATGGTGACACCAGTACTTACCAGGCAGTTCTCAGGGCCCCCCAGGACCACCTCGTTGTGGATTTCACCGCTGCCGAAATGCTGGGCGATGGCCAACCCGCTCAGGCAGTAGCAAGTGTGGTAGAAATCCCGGGACCTGGAAGAGGATTTTCGGGGTGCTGAAGGTGGGTCTGGGGGATGGGGGGGGGAAGGCAGGTAGCCCCCAGCTCCCTCTCCCCCCAGCACACCCTTGCCAGGCTTGTCGAGCAGCCCCCCCGCCGGGCACTGGCAGCAGAGCAGGATGTATTCCTGCAGCGCCGACTGGTCGAACATCCAGTGGGACATGCTGAGAGCTGAGTCACCTGGAAGAGTTGGGGAGGAGAGGGTAAGGTAGGGAATTATTTGGAGTGATGAAACCCCAAGTAGTGAACCCCCCTCCCCAGGTGGTGAAACCTTTCCCCCCCTCCAAGGGAACCAGCATAACCTCACTGCAGGGTAGAGCGAATCCTAAAAAAGCAGGGATATGGGGACAGCCAGGTGACTCCAGGCCTTGTTCCCAACTTCATTTCATCCCAGAGGTGCCAGAGGAAGTGGGAACACCCCCCCCCCTTTCTCCTGGGGAGCCACTAGCAGTCAAACCCCACTGCCAAAATCCTGGGGGGAAGCAGGAGTCCCCTAAAAACCAGGGACATAGGGACCCTCAGATACCTCTGTGCTTTATTCCCACCCTGGAGGTGCCATTTGGGGGGGGCAGAGGAAGCCCCAACCTCCCAAGGAACCACCAAAACCTCACTGCCAAAAATCCTGCAGGGAAGTACAAACCACCCAAAGAAAAGGGACATGAGGCCACCCAAGTGACTCTGCTCATTATTCCCACTGTCCCACTCCAGAGGTGCCTTTTGTTTTGGGGGGGGGGGAGGGAAAGGGGGTGTGTCAGAGGATGCAGGGACCCCAGGGCAGACTCACCCCTGGCGTGCAGGGCACGGTGGAGCAGGGGCAGGAGCCCAGCCTGCCAGAAGGAGTAACAACCATCCACCAACTTGTTGCAACGTCCCTGGAAACCACCCTCGAAGCGCATCTGCCGGCCGGTCACCCAACGCTGCGGGGGAAGGCCAGGACACCAGTGTCAAGGATCAGGACCACCCCTCCCACCCCAGCACCACCAACCAACCAGTCCTGAGCCGTGGTGACACTCACCAGCAAGCTCTGGAGGTTCAGGAGATGTTCCTGCTTGAGGATGACCAGGGCTGCCAAGCCGCAGAAGGTGTAACCGCCGTGAGCTTCCATCCCCGGCACCCCGCCGATGCCACCTTCCCAGTTTTGGCACCTGTGCTGGCCAAGGCAGTGAGGATGTCACCACCACGAGGCGTGCGTGTCCCCAACCCTGTCCCCTCTGTCCCCAGCCTGCCCCTTCACCTCACGATCCACTCGGCTGTCCCGGCAAAGAGCGTGGAGGTGAGGATGTTGGTGAGGGAGGCGACAGCGGCGGCGCAGTAGGCGCTCCTGTGGGACACCAGGGTGGACACCAGGAGGGACACCAGGATCAGCACACCAGGAGGGACACCAGGATCAGGACACCAGGATCAGGACAGTGGCACTGGCACCAACCATCATCCCCCACCCAACTCCACACCGGGATCCCACCTGACGTCCACCTCTCCCCCCGCGTGCATGAGGAAGGAGCCATCAGGTTGCTTCAGCGAGTGCAGATATTCCAGCAGCTTTTTCCTGTGGGATGAAGTGGGATGTGAGGGGAGGGGTTTGGGAAACCCATCCCACCTCCCCCCCAGCCCCACACAGGCTGCCAGACCCCCCTCCCAGAGCCCAGCTGTACCTGTCGATGACGTCGAAGGCCTCCTCCGTGCCGATGATGCAGAGAGCGCTGACGGCAGCGTAGGTGGGGGCCAGGTGGGGC